CAAGCACATCTGCTACAGTCAGTGGAAAGTCATCGTTCTCTTGCATGGTTTATGTTGTACAAGTTATACATATGTACTATGTACTTTCACTCATTCCAGTATTTCATTTATGAATTGGCCTGTTTGTTTATTATACCATTTTCGACCAGATAGGAAAATTTTATCTATGTAGTTATTTGCACACTTTAGAAAAAATTTACTTTGGTGTACATATGGCACTCGGCTGAGAATTAGATACTTGGGCAGTCATTCACGCAGATTTCTCAATAATAGAGGGGCTACAAAAATCAACTCCGATGTTGACACACCAGGCAACCTTTCTCAAAATGTGTGTAATTCTATGCTGTGGGTGTACAGAATGACTGCAGTTTTTTCTTTATTTCAAAGGGCTCCACTTGGATGTGAATCAGATGAGTCACCTCCAGTAAGAGCTTCATCGTATAATTAGTCGACAGAGTTCCTTTAGAAGACCCCCTTCTGCAACTTTGTATTCTATTTCACTGAGGTGGCAATGGCAGATGCAGCCAATTCACGACCAGCTAAGCTTGTAATTGCACGAGTGCGGTACTTACATAGTTTCTCAGAGACACCAGTGTTCACCATTGTGCCAAAGCTTTGTCTGCTAAACTTATTGCCTACCATCAAGCAGGTCTCTCAATGTGCGTTTGATGATCATGATGATGATGTGTGGTGCTTTATGGCGCAAGGGACGATTGATGGATAGAGGGCACCACTTCAGAAGATAAGAGATGTTAACAATGATATGGTACGTGGCTGTCTGGGGGCCTTAAAACTCCTCGCGTTAACGTGGGTAAAAACATAGAAGTACTAAAATCATGACAGCGACCTGAAATATGTTCAGTGAGAGTGAATAGCGAAGAAAACCATGGTAAGGATGTGCCACAGCAGCCGTGACCTTGGAACAGAGGCTGAGCTACGGATCACCTCGGAAAATGGGGTGAAAATTATGTACATTTTCTTAAAACGTGAGCATTTTTTTAAAACATCCTGCCGATGAGCATGACAGGATGTAGTGGAAGCTGCTGTCTGTAGGGCAATAAAATTGCTTTTTCTTACAGCAACTAGCTCGTTGCACTGCACGAGGATGTGGAGGACCGTAAGTGGATCTCCACATCTCTCACAGATGGGTTTGTCACCGCCAGACAAAGGGTATGAATGGGTAAAGTGTGTGTGTTTTATCCGTAGTCTGGTAAGTGTTACTTGAGTGTAGCGTAATCTGGATACTGCCGGCCAATCAGCAAGTCTCGGTTTGATAATTTGCAATTTGTATTTCGTTTGCCCATCCCATAGGCGCTGCTAACATGACCTGAACTCCTGTCAGGCTTCTTGTCAAGTGCAGGGACAGCCATGGATTTTATTGGTGGCAGCGTCGTGATGCACAGGTGCAGCTAGCTGGTTCGCCGCCACGTTTACAGTGATGTCGCGGTGCCCAGGCAACCAGCACACAACATGTCGTTTGAGAGTGTAGCTTTTGCATAAAACAGAGTAAAGCGACGCCAACAGGATTTTATGTTTTTTGAGTGTTTGCAAAGCTGTTACAACGCTTAGCAAATCTGTGTATATAACCACACGTTGTAGTTGTAATTCCTTGATATGCTTGACAGCCAGAAATATCACATGAGCTTTGCATTCCAGTTCAGCATATAGGAGTTTAAAAAGGATGGCCCAACAGCTGCATAGGATACACCAGCAAGAGACTTTGACGCATTTGTAAAGAATTCTAGGCAAGTGTATCATGTTGAAGTTCGAGAAAGTGAGTGCGGGTGTGTGCAGTAAGTGCGTGTTTAGCAACTTCCACGAAAGATACATCGCAGTCAATAACCTGCCACTGCCATGGCGGCGGATATGCTGCGGCAGCCATCAAACGGTGTTCTAGAAGGAGAACACCTGTTACCTCAGCGAGGCTCCTCACACGGAGTGAGTCTGCGAAGGCCAATTGTTGAACAAGGTATAATTGGATAATTCATTAATTGCAGGGTGAGTGGGATGTTCTTTGTCTGCGTTAACCTTAAGATAGTATGTAAAAGACATGTAACGTCTCTGCAGATGGAGCGACCATTCATTTGATTCTACGTACAGGCTTTCAACGGGGCTAGTTCAAAAAGCACCCGTAGAAAGACGAATGCCAAGATGGTGAACAGGGTCGGGCATCTTTAAGGCTGATGGTGTCTAAGATTGATCGTTATAGCAACATAATCTGGACGTGTGCGTATGAGGCTTTTATAGAGACTGATTAAACACTTCTCATCGCTACCCTAGGAAGTGTGTGACAGTACTTTTAAGATATTCAAAGTCTTTATGCACTTGTTCTTTATATATTTTAGTGAAATAAAGAACTATACATATTAACGTAAGTTTCATGTCAAGAATGAGGCCTAGAAACTTGTGCTCCGTTTTCACAGACAGACGTTGGCCATGTACGCCAAAGTTAGGATTGGGATGAAAACCTTGTTTTCTTGAGAATGAGATCACGTGCTTTTTTGTGGCTTAAGTTTTAGCCCATTTTTGTCAGTCCATTTCGAGAGCTTGTTCAAGCTAAGCTGAGCTTGCCACTCACACATGGCAGGATTACAGAACTTATAGCCAACCTGCACATCATCCACATACGTGGAATAAAACAAACTATGTGGGATGCAGAGTCGCAAGGAGTTCATTTTGATACTGAAAAGTGAAAAACTCAGCACCTTACTTGAGGTACTCCAGTTTTCTGGGCATACATTTGAGACAAAACATTACCTACTCGCACACGGAATGTACTGTCTGACAGGTAACTCTCTATTATATTGAACATTCTTCGACGTACACCTAGATGTGACAGGTCTCTTAGTATTCCAAAGGGTCATGTTGTGTCGTACGCTTTTTTCCATATCGAGGAATACAGAAATAGAGAATAGCTTATAAGTGAAGGTGTCATGTACACTTAAACCTCATCACAACAAAGTTGCATCATACTCGGGAATAACTTCGTTATATCTAAAAATTCATAATAAAGGTATATTCCTAACAACAGCTATTGCAAGAACATTCTTCATTTACTTTGTTATAACCAATATTTCGTAATATCTGTGTTCGTTATATCGAGGTTCGAATGTATTTGCACGCCTATTCATATGAGGTGGTCGGTGGTTGATTTACCGTTTCTAAACACACACTAGTATGGGTCCGGTAGATAGTTTCTTTTAAGGAAGTGCATCAGTCGCCTGTTTATCATTTTTCAAAGAGCTTAGAGAGCACTGGGTTTGGGCTAGTTGGTACTAATCCATAACTTATGTAAGCGCTGAAAGCACGTGCATAAGACGAGCGCTTGTCCTGTGTCCTTCGCTCGTCTTGCATACGTGCCTTTAACATTAAGTTATGGAGCTTAGAGGGACAGCTTGTTAAGGCTATAGGCCTGTAGTTTAAAACTGAGGACGGATCTTTGCGCTGTTTTGTGAGTTGAGATGATGATTGTTTCTTTCCAGGCAGAAGGAATCTGACCGAAAAGCCAAACTGCATTAAACAAGAAAAGGAGGGCTTTTTGAGTTTCAGAAGGAAGATGTTTCAACATTCATACACTATACAGTCAGAGCCGGGGCAGATTATTACAACAATTTAACAATGCTGGTAACTCAGCCAAAGACAAAGCTTCAATGTATGCCTTGTGTCTTGAAGATTTCCGCCAGTATTTATTTTTCAGTTCTTGTTTTGTGGCGTTGGAAATTGTCAGGACAGTTGGAGGAACTGGACACCTGTTCGAAGTGAGTGCCTAGGAAGTTCTTGATCTTCTAAGCTGCCGCCATATGTGTTTACCAGGGGGTGTGAATATTTGTCGTTCTGCTACCTTATAAACTTAAGGACATACTTAAGCCGCGAAATTACATAAACGCAGCGTAAGAAAAACACGACAACGACAAGCGGCCAAACTGCCAGTCATGCCTCCTGTGTATATGATTTGCCTGATAAAAACTTCTGCCAACTTTTTCTTCTGGCCTGTCTGCGCGTTCTCCTGCCTTGAGACTTTATTTTCTTAAAGCTGTCAAGATTCTCGGCTGTTCGTGAGAATCTTGCTACCATGCTTTGTTTTGCTGTTTGCCTGCACTACGACACTCAGTTTTCCACCATGGGACACGTCGCTTGCAGGACAGTCCAGGTGTTTGCAGGATACACTTGGTTGCAGCATCAGTCAGAAAAGCTGTGAAGTACTGTACACTTTCATCTATGATTCGCCCAGATATGTTATAAAACTGTCCCCAATCAGCTTTTTTACTTGGAAACATGTGCAAGACATGAGATGTTGGTGTACTCATAAACTAAAAGAAAGTGGTCACTTCCATGAGGATTGTTTACGACTTTCCATATGAGTAAAGGTAAGAGCGATGGAGAGACAATGCTGAGGTCCATCGATGAGTAGGTACTATTAGCGAGGCTATAGCATGTGGGCTCTTTGTGATTAAGGAGGCATGCGCCAGGAGAACACAGGAATTGTTCAGTCAGGCGACCTTGTGCATAGCAGCGGGAGTCACCCTATAGATGCTATGTGCGTTGAAGTCTTCAAAGAGAAGATTGGTTCTGGAAATTCATCTATTAATGACTGGAATTTGTGTTTATTCAGTTGGTAGCGTAGAGGTATGTAAATAAAGCAGATTGTGATCAATTTATTTTGATCATGATAATGGCTAGGACAGCCACCACCTCGAGGGATGTATGAAGTGGTAAATGTGTACATGCTGTCCCTAGATTTACGATAACAGCAACACCCGGATGACCGGGCAGCATAATCCCGGTTTTAGAAAAATAATGTAATTGCCCAGGAAGTTGACGTGTTTCGATTTTAAGTGTGTTTCTTGCACACACAGCACTTTTGGTGTATGTTTGTGTAAATAGAAGTTCTTATATATCGTCGAGGTTACTCAGTATTCCTGACATTCTCCTGCAATATTTGTGTCTCCATTTGCAAGTACTTTGGCGCTGTATGTACAAAGACTGCCGGTTAAGGTTACAGGGCCTTTTGGGGGCCCTGTAATGCAGAGTTTCTCTTTTCTGGCGTGCTCCAAAGAGCTGTCCTCTTCTTCGGCATCTGAGGCACCGGAGGAGCAGGACTTGTATCCATCACCCCTTGTGAGGTGGCAGATGGTGCCTGCTTGGCAGACACATTCACAGAATTTTCGGTCCACTGTACTACAACTATATGCATTAGTTCTTTTTCGAGTAACGCTAGCAGCTTATTTAAAATCGTGCTGCGAGTAAACTGGGACACCCTGATCTGATCTTTTGGCAATGCTGCGAATGTCTGACACTTTAAATTACGGGCGAGCGAATATTGAAATCTCAACTCTTTCTTATACTGTCTGCCATTCGATTCAATTTGCATTGAAATTTTACCATTCGAACTTCCCGAGGGCAAATACAGTCAACATCCAATTGGCAGTGGCCCTTCCAATTTTGCAGTATGCTTCACCGCATCATACTCAGGATGTTCGAAAAATTAGGTGCCGAATGTTTTAGCATCCAAATTTTCATATGTTCTTATATACTGACATCTACAAGGCAGATTCAGAACTGTGGACTTAAAGAGAGCACACCCTTGTCCACCACATCAGTTGGGCTTCCACAGAAGTTGAAAGAGGAGAAGAGGCTGAGGAAATAGCATCTGTGCCTTTCACATGCAAAGTGTTGTTGACAACACTTTACACACATCTTATACAAACATGCTTAGTAATGCACTCCAATATCTTTTTGGCAATTTCACTTCAAATTACACAAAAATTATTCTAGAAATATTAGAAAAATTTTTGAAAAATATTCAACTGGTTTGCACTCACATTTTAGTAATAAAATTTGCTTCACACCCAAAATTTTTTTATCACACAGATCTAATTTTATTGTTCATATACTGCAAGTGCTAAGTAATCGAAAGCAGGGGCAAATGAGATAATGAATGCTAAACCAGACTAATGCATATATCACTTTACAGCATAAGTGATAGGGGTTTAGACAGATGCACACTTGCAGGATACAGGAATTCAAGAGCAAGGCTTATCTCTTCTGAAGAAAATAAATATAAGTGAATGTGTACTGATATGAAAAAATAAATAAATAAAGCAAATTGGGTAAAAATACCCGCCCTTACCCAACAAGGCCGGCTCACCACAGCTCCTAGCATTGACTTTGTGCTACTCTTTTTTTCCTGTGTACAAAGAAAAAAAACAAGCATTCTTGTGCAACTGGTGAAGTACTCTAGCAAATATACTCCTATTAAGAAAAAAGGGTTCAACCAGATACAATGCTATACCTATTGTTCAATGTGACTAAAGCCCATTATATAGGGTGCTCCAGCTGTCTTTAGCCAGAGTTTAAAAACATGCCGACGCATCTATGACGATGTGAACAAATGGAGGTTGCTGACTATTGCCTAGAGCAGCGATTTCCAGCCATGGATGTGTCAGGGACCATTGTGGACTGGTGGAAGTGATGGGGGACCCCTTGCAGCGGAGGAGAGGGAGGGTATGTAGGTAAATTAACACAACTGGAGCGTGAAACATGTGCCTTTTATTGCTACCAAAAACATCAAACAAATGTGCCCTATCACATCATTTTGGTCAGTTTATCAATACCTGGAACAATCACGCTGAAAAAAAACGGATCATAGAAATGGATCATAGAAATGATCACGGATCATAGAAATGGTTTCGCGAACCCCCATTTGAGAACCACTGGCCTAAAGTACATCACACAATTGTATGTGTTCTTATTAATTGCTTAATTAAGAATGTTTAATTACCTCGTTTTTGAAGTGACAAAGCTGGGTGAAAAATTTCACTGAAAAACTTGTAGATCAGTTAGAAAAATATTTAAAATTAATTAGACATTTTCTAGTTTTCTATTTGGGGCCCTGCGATTCAAATTGAGTGTTATTTTCATTGCTTGTACTCGAACCGTAGAATGCACCAATATCGTCACACCAGTGACAATGCCAAAAACAAAGCTGTTGTAATTTATTTCTACAGAGAAACCACACTGTTTTCAGACTAGAGCAACACACAGCAGCTATTTTGGTGTTCAGAATAAACGGTTCACCACGGGGGAGTGATGACATAGGCTGTGTTTTGATTGGTACAATGCAACAACTTACGCGTGATAATCTTATGGTCCCGATAGGTCACACTATTGTGAAATACAAATTACAAAAGAACTCTCTATACTTTCTCAGATAAAACAATATTGTTTTTAAATATATAAATGTTAAAACAATTCCAAAAAGATGCTAGGAGCATTGTACAATAGCCACCATGAGACGAGTCGATTGATTGATATGTGGTGTTTAATGTTCCAAAGCCACCATATGATTATGAGAGATGCCGTAGTAGAGGACTCCGGAATTTTCGACCAGCTGTGGTTCTTTAGCTTGCACTCGAATCTGAGCACACAGGCCTACAGCAATTTCACCTCCATCGAAATTGCAGCCGCTGCTGCCGGGATTGAATACCATGACCTTAGGTTCAGCAACCGAGTACCTTAGCCACTAGACCACTGCGGCGGGGCCACGAGGAGAGTCGTACGGTACATCCCTTCAAAAGGTGCGCGGTGAATGAAAATGGCATTTTACACCCCAGGGTGAGTGAATAGCGAAAGAAAAAGTTGTTCTGGTGTTTTGAAGTTTGAAAGCTAATAACTTCTGTTACCATGTACTAATTTCAATCATTATTTTTGCGTTCGTCTCAGAATTTGGTGTACAAACTCCAGTGCTGCAGAATGCAGAAGAAAAAAAAAAATTCCGCCATATCCACGAAGTGAATGATGATGAGTGGGCGAAGCTCCGGAGGTAAACCTAGTAAACCATGAATCCTCTGTACATTTTGCCCACTCGATTTTATTACATCGCTCCCCTAGCGTACGTCGCCGCACTAAATCGAACGATTGCCTTCAACCAATGACATGCGCCATATGTGACATCATTCCTATTTTATAAGATCTCGCGTCTTTCATCAACTACAAGTACCGCTTTCTAGTTTATAACATCTTGCATCTTTTCATCATCAGCTACAAGTACAACCATCTAGTAAACACTACAAGAACTAAACGAGAGGTGGCTACATACAGGAGATGGTACCGCCATCTAGTGAACACTGCAAGAACTAAACTAGAGGTGGCTACATACGGGGACGGTACCGCCATCTAGTGAACACTGCAAGAACTAAACTAGAGGTGGCTACATACAGGCTACAGGGGACGCACAGCCCAGCCCTAAGGAGCTTCGCCCCTAAAAGTGCCACAAGGCCCGTTTAAGTATAGGTGTTTTTCTGCTTACTACAGATGCCTGCAAAGTACAAATAATATCACATCACATGCATGCTTGTGCACCATATTGCATCGCTCCCTAATGTTCTGCATGAAAATGACCATAAAATTTGGCGTAGCGTGCTGCCTCAACAGGAATGTGCGATGATGCAGTTTTGCTAGTAGTAACACAAGCGATAACCGCTGAACCTGCTTGGAATTGTCTAAACTGCCGTAAAGAAAGCATATCATTTGTAATCACAGCGCACAGAGGTGCAACTGAGTATGTCATATGATATATTTTATATTTTGCGGGCACCTGTAATAAGCAGAAAAACACTAATACATAGTAGATATTAAGGATGTTTCACAAACTGATCTACAACTGTATCATTAGAATTTTTCACCCAGCTTTGCTGCTGCAGCAAATACCTAACTAAACATGCCTAACTAGGCAATTAATAAGAAGACAAAAACAGTTTGATGTCCTCCAGGCAACATGCGCTTGGTCACATTCTCATAGTGTGCTATGGCATATCTTATACTCTGGCTTACGATAGCTGGGGTACCCTGTACATCCATGATTGCATGCAATATTCTTAACTAATTCCTCGATTGCTACCCAGCTTATGCGCACTGACCAAGACAGGTCTAAAGCCCCGCCGCGGTGGTCTAGTGGCTAAGATACTCGGCTGCTGACCTGCAGGTCACGGGTTCGAATCCCGGCTGCATTTCCGATGGAGGCGGAAATGTTGTAGGCCCGTGTGCTCAAATTTGGGTGCACGTTAAAGAACCACAGGTGGTCAAAATTTCCGGAGCCCTCCACTGCGGTGTCTCTCATAATCATATGGTGGTTTTGGACGTTAAACCCCACAAATCAATCAATCAATTAATCAAGACAGGTCTAAATATCAGACTAAAGAATAAAAGCAAATTCTGAGAAAGTATAAGAAAGCATCCACTCACACCTAGGCTCAGAGCTGAGCTTTAAAATACGGGGTAGGTATTCTATAAAAAATTATTAAAGGAGCACTGACATCAAACTTCAGAATCGAGATGTGCTCTTCATTTGATTGCTCAGTGTGCGTAGGTCCTCTTAGCCTAATTTGAATTGCCTCCGTTATGTGGAAGTTATTTTATTTTGACTGCAAATAGTGTACCAGAGCTTCATGAAAAATGGAGCGCTCTGCGACATACAACTAGCAATACGTATTCGGTGTGACACATTCCACGCATACCATCCTCAGTGACGATGCGCTAGTAGTGATTCGAGTGTTCTTATCGTGGCGCCCACTGGCACCAAAGCCTAGAAATGTATTCACTCGTCATGCCTCATCTTCTTCCCACCACTTTGAATGATTTCGTGAAATTACCAAGATGCAAACCACCCATAAAAGATTGGCGAAAAAGAAGATTATGATTCAACGTCTGCTCGTGCCTTTTCATTACATGTATGTTACACACCAAACACGATTAGAATCTATTAAAGTGGAGTAGCTTATATATAGATATCATCGCTAACAAGTAACACGCAGGTATCATTATAGTGAATTTTAGTTCATTCATAAACTTCTTTGCGTTCGCGTAAGAGTACGGGTAACTGCCGCCAAACCGTGAGAGGCCGGATAGGTGGAGCTATCTCAAGATGCAAAACCTGGCAAGCAGGGAATGTATTCTTTTCTGTGGTGTGCATTCCCTATACCGATATTCCATTGACCCCTTCACATATACCTGAATGCTGTGCATGCCAAAACACACCAATTGAGACACGAGCGAGCATGGCCAAAGCATGGATGCTCATGCTGCTTGTAACGGCGCCAATTTTGGAATCACTGTTCTGCAAAGGGTCGATCGAAGCAAAAATGATTCACAACATCATGAATCGAGGCTATTTCAAGCTGACGTATTCAACCGTAGTCGACACTTTGTATGGTGACAACAGCAATGCAAGTGACAAGGCATGCGCCTAGCAGATAAAATGTTTGTGGAGCAGCTGAGCCTGACGTCATTCTTTTCAGTGGAGAAGTGGCCAGCTGTGGCATGATCTGGAGGTGGCGGTGAGGAAGTGCTCCCAGCGCTAAAAATGGCCAGATTGCTGGCCATTATGAATCATGTTAGATACCAGTCATATAAATTAATAACAGTGATAGTTATTGATTCCTCAGTTGCATTATAGCTCATGAATCGCTACTAGGGATTAACAGCTCTCATTGATTCAAAAATCTTGACATGAGTAATAAATTTTATGTCACTGCTCCTTTAAGGTATGAGGTCAAGTGACTAAATTTTTTTAAAAAGCAATAAGAGATTATTGCCTGCAATATAAATCACATCTTTTTAGGCAAATGTGAGCATTACAAAGCGAATCTTATTGAGGGGAACAGCGCAAAAAATGGGACGGAAAAAGATTGAACACATAACACTAGCGCTGTCGTGTGTTCAGTCTTTCTCCCACCCATTTTTTGCGCTGTTCCCTGCAGTATCATGTACCAACTAGCCCTTCAAGAATCCCTTTTGCAAATCCTATTGTTGTTACTTTCACACTTTAAAAGTAATTAAAAGTATGCCTTGCACAAACACTCATAACTGAAGCTGCACTCATTGAAAAAAAGTTTATTTTTGCAGGGACATGAACAAAGCTTTGGCCTGTGCAAAAGAAATGAAACCTGATAAATACTTAAAACATAATAACTAAATAACCAAGAAAGTATGCACTAGCACTAGGGCCACCTTCATATAAAATACAGCCATAATTAAATCTTGTAGCAATTTTGCTTATTGGGTTCATTGCACGTCTGCTGAAGAGAAAAAAGTGTGCCAAGTTTTAATGAAAAGTGTTTATTAACAAAAGAGTTACAACTGTTCCCATAAGGAAGAATACCAGAAATTTGCAAGAAAATCAACAAGGAAGATTAGAAACAGGTGCAGTGCTTACACAAAATGATGAGGGGGGCTAAAATTCTCAATATTGTGCCAGTTTCATAGTTAACCTTACCTGTGTGCCTTTTCACGAGTGGCGACTCTAAATTTTCTTTTGTAGCTTGTTTTGCAGCATCAGTGCCACAACAAGACGATTTCGTGCTGCAATGCTGATCAATTGTCAGCCGTGTTTTCCTGTGTAGGGGCTAGACTCGGTCCCAATTTCGTTAAAAGTATCAAATGTGCTGCTGTTTCTATTATTTAAATGACATACATCATCAAACAAAGCAAATTTGATGGTTTACAGGCTCACATACGTGTCCTTGAGCATGAACAACACATGTACCACTTTATGTGTTCAGCTAGTAAGAAGTTGATGACTTTTCATTAAAAATGATATATTGTGATTGATTTCAGAGCACTATCACATATTTTCACTTTATATGATTGCTAAACAACCAAAAAATGCTACATATCAAGGTAACTTTATGCTACATGCATAACTGGCACTTTCAGTTTCAGTTTCATGGGGACTGGGTGGTCTAATATTTTTGCTTTGAAAGAAATGACACAGATGGATGCTTTACGCAGCAAAATTACGGCCAATAATTTGTGCACGTAACTATTCAAAAACAAAAAAATACATTTTGACAAAAATTCACTTTTTCCACTAGGCCTCATATCTTAAATAGAGAATACTATGGAACCAATATTTCAACAAGTGGACTTCTCTTTATCAAGACAACAAATACCGTAGTTATGATCAGCACCATGCACATTATCCTCACTAATCCCTAGCCTGAAACCTGGAAAATGGGAAGCGAAGCATTTTAACACAAAAGAAACGAAAGACGGGGTATGGGGAGCTATCCAGGTAAGAAGCTCGAATTCTAAATGGTTATAAACTAGACATCAGTTTATCTCAATAAATAGCCTGATGGAGCTACAACAACTTTATATTGAATTTAGTATATATAGAAGCAACTGACAGACCACAATGAAAAATATAGTATGTTAAAAGATTAACATTATAGTGAAAAACAGATTCTGGGGTGTTTAGTCCCATGCAGAAGGCTTAGCATGGAAAATGTAACGATACCTCAGGCCTCCAATCGGGGAAGAGACGAGAGACAAAAGCCACGTATTCATCCCTTGCTGTGGTAGCTGTCATTTCACCTAACCGATTCCAGGCATCCCTGTTAATAGAGAAATCTCTTTATTCTGTTGAGCACTCGAGTGTGAAAATGTCAGAACTATGGTGATGAATAAACATAATGAGGAAGACGGCGCTTACAGGAAAGGCCAAAAGAACAGCCACAAGTGCATGCCAAGGTGATTCACTAGCCAGCTAGTTTGCAATGAGATTTTTAGAATGGCAGGTACTGTAAGCAGGTATTTATGAACTATTCTGTAATAAAAACAATTCTGCCAAGTTCACTCCCCTGCAGCATAGAACACAACTTTTTACAAGGTATTTGTGGTTATTCACTGTTACGACAAAGACTACATTAACAGCAAGTACTATGATGATAAATAAAAACAAATGATGAACTGCACCATTCTGGCGAACCTATCGTTACTAACCATTGTATACACAAGTGTCACTATAAAATTTTATTCGTGATGAAAAATTATTTTTAAATAAATATAGAAGACTTTCCATAAAGCAATCCATATTCTGGCAGCCTAATTAAGTTTATGAAGCTTTTTAACGCTCGCTCTAGATGATTATTTATAATAACGCTTTCTATAGAATGTGCAAAAATGATTGAACACTGAGATGTCATTATATATACTGCAAAAATGTCCTTTAACAAGCGCTTGAAGCTTATCTGTTGAAGCAAAATCACAGCACTGGTACAGTACAGACATATATAATTGTTAAATATTACCCAATATTCTTATAAAATAATCAAGACTTTCTCGCATCATCACAGCTAATTACCATTTCTGGCGGCCCTTAAAGTCGTAGAAAGCTGGCCTTGGTAGCCTGCATGGGCCGTCTAGGACCTACATAAAAGAGAAATCTATTACACCAAAGAGTGCAGCTGGTAAGAAGGCACTGTCAAACACCGACACTGCGCAGCAAAAAGACGTATGCCCTCTTCTTTAAAATTAAAATTAATAACACTATTCAGATCGTTTCTTTTAAGACAACAAAGGGATCTCCTTCCATTACTGCCATTAGCTCAAAACAACTGCGCACATGGTGATTGCAACCAGCTGTTGTACTTTGGCTAGCAAAAAATGCACTTAGTCATCTGAAAGACATTAGCAAGATTGTGCAAGTAGCAATCTAGTCATGGCAAAGGTATGTCCAGGGCTTTTCATTGATGTAGCCAGATTACCCTACTATGCCCCCCCCCCTCCCCTCTTCTTTAATTGGCACATTTATTTTCAAACTTTCTTCAAAACTTATCAGCAGAAATACCTGTGCTATGAAATAAAATGTGATTTTTTGATCAGACCTTACTGGAAGTTTTATGGATACTTTGTTCTAACTTTGTTGAAAAAGGAAATCTTGGTCTGAGAGTCTAGCAACTTCTTCCTCTTTCATATTCTCTTACAGAACTCAAAGGCTGTGCACTCAACGTGTATCCTTTCAAGCCAGCGATCGACGCCTCGACATGCCCTCCTTTGCCATTTTTTATTTTGCATATACATGTGCTAAGGTTTCCGTAATTAACAACTACACATTATTAGGACATTATAATGCATCTAATTTTTGCTTTGAGAATGATCTGCACAGGCATGGTGAAGGAATTTTCACTGTCCACTGCCTCAAGGGCTTCATGAAGGGTCCATTTTGTAGCCAGATGTCAGTTTACACTTGGCAAGCAAATTCATGCACTTTAGAGCATCCAAATCAATAATCAAGAGTAAGACGAATGAAATATGAAATGGATCATTAAAAAATAAAGCCCAGATATGGAATTCAGACTGTATTGTTGAACCTAAATAGTAGAAAAGAAACTTATGTAATATATTCAAGGTGTTCAAATACAAAGAAGAGTACATAAAAAGGTGATGCAAATGTTCATAGCACATGATCCAGAGAGTTACATTCAATAAATGAAGTTTCTTTGCCCAGAGTGACTTCCTGTGGGTTTCTTTCACCTTGAAGCAAGCTGTAAAAAGAGGAAAATCAATCCAGGAGCAATCCATGACATCCAGCAAAAGACCTAGCATTCAATTTAACTTCACAGGATTGAATCATTTAAAGAAACTTTTACAGGCAACATGCAATGTCTTGTCAGAATTATATCAACAACTCAAAGGAACTTACAAACTGCAAGAGATGCCATAGTAGTAGGGCTCGTTATCCTACTCAACCACATGGATTCCTAAATGTGCACACTGCCACTATATTGTGCCTTAATGATATATTCTGTAGGTAGAATAAAACATAGAGGACCTAGCAGGATCTTGTTTTCTTACTTTTTATAATTTAAAATTTACTGTTGGGTGAAATGGAAACATGTGTTCTCCAATTTTAACAATTTGCTTGGTTCAAAATTCACTCTTCGAGAGTTCATCGGGCCTAGAGATCAGAAAATTCAATGTGCTGCCTTTGGTACAATACCATTCTTTTTTAACAAGGCTGAATTTCAGTCTTGTGCTGCATAGCTGCCTGCAAACAAGCACAGGTGTCTCAGTATTAGTGGTGTTAACTTAGCGAGAAAGTCGCTGAATTTAGCGTCTTAGCAGTCATGCTAACGACAATTTTGTCTATTTGGAGCTCTAGCGACATTTGGGGGGACTTTCAAAATTTGAGATAGAGCAATCTAAAATAGACATAGAACATTAAAAAAATGTGGGAACAGTGGGATGCTCAGAACAAGCTTCTATAAATGAGGCCGAAGCATACAGGATCAAGCTGCTTGTGGCTGTTTCCAGCACTCATTTTATTTTGAGGTGGGCAAAGCGGCTCTATTGAACGACTCACGGTTCGCCGCAGACAGGTGGACTACAACTGCTCACATGTTTACAGTCGATTAGCCAGGAGGGAGCACCACTGTCCGATTTTATTCACCGCACCAGATATTGATTTAACATAGTGTTTAAATAAAAAAATCTCTTCACGTGCTTTAACAAGTAAACACTTAAGACTCGCGAAAAAATTCACCATGCGTCATCGTTTAGCGACTTTTGGCTAAAATTGGTAACTTTTTGGAAGCGTCCCGGCACGACTTTCCGAAAAAAAAGTCAACACCACTGCTCAGTATAGTTCATTTGACAGTACAGTGCCTGATGGAGCAATAGTATGGTTGTTGGTGTATGCTCAACACGACATTACGAAAAATTATGTAAGGCGTCAGGTCGCCTGACATTACGTCACGTAAGTTTAACATATATATTGGCGCTTGTGTGAAGTGTTAACACAGTATACCATCAACAATTATTATTGCTATTTTGAACTGATAACGCAAAATCCCTGGCACGCACCTGTTTGTACCTGGCATAAAGGTAGAGCAGTTGATCATTAGCCAGGTTTCCGACGTGGGCTTGAACATGCTCCGCGGCTTTTAAGAAGATGTTCTTTTGCTCGTCCCATTCCTTTAAAGCATCGTCCTGATTATTCAAAGCCATTTTCTCCGGATCGAATTTTTGGAGCGCTACCTGAGCAGCTGTTACAAATGTCAAAATCAAATACTGGTAGATATTCCCTGCCTATCTAATGCGCAGCATTTAGCTGTTCGCGCGGAAATTGCACATAATTCAGACGAAAATAACTTCGGCGAAACCAGGTCACGCCATCAATTTGAACAGTACTGCACTGGTTGGAAAGTGGTAGAATCTGCAGGTTTTTAAAATTTTCCATTGCCTCCGTACAGCGCGATTTGGATATGTCACGATATCAATTTGGCTACCAAACGACTGCAAGCCATTTTCACAATAATTTAATCATAACAAAAGTATTTGTGCAATTTTGTTTTTACTTTTAATAACTATGCAAATGAATAAAATATAGCATAAAATACGAGGTTTTTAAGTTTTATTTTGATAATTTTACTTGCGATAACAAATGTTTTTTTTATTTTTTAGCCAAGTCAATCCAAAAGGCTAAGTTTTACTACAAGTCTACAGTGTACTAGAAGAGGGCAGTGGGCTTACTCCGCCGCTCCTCTGACGCAGTTGGTGTCGCATAGGAGAGGTGGCGCCACAGGCATCTTCGATGGAAGCTTCGCCTGCAGAAGCTGCTCGCCGCTGGCCGCTCGTACGAGTTGCGACGCGCGTTTCTTCGATATTTATAATAAACTTGCTTGTATTAACTTCCCTTTGACTGTACTGAGAGCGTATGTTGCTCTCGGTTCGCCATTATTTCCTTTTTTTTGCGATAGATTTGCCGAAAGTCAGTCCGATGGCAGCTTATGCAGATATGCTTGCTCCTTTCTAGTGCGACGCAGTTAATGCTTTTTTTTTTCTTGGGGGCGGGGGAGCTTGAGTTCTTTGCACATTTTGACAAGCACTACATTTGTGCAGGCCACATCGTATTTTCCTTGATATAACACCTCGCTCGCTTCCTAGCCGAGCTTTAACATGCAGGCGTGCTGGCTGAGTTTGTGCCTTTGCTATGATGAAATGAAATTGTAGCTGAAATATCTTTTGTTCTAATTCGGTTGTTGCACATGGCACAGTAGTTTTCTCGGGGTTTTTAATAACTATAATTACGCAGTTACACATCTGTTAGGCCTATGTACAAGCTTCTGTTCCGGACATGAAGCTCTTATTTTCAAAACTGAAGCACAATATTCAACCACTGATTTACACACTTTATTCACTTCATGTGCAACGGCTCAGCTTCAGCTGCTTGGCCCTCTGCCGCTTTCCTCCTTTGTCACTGTTCAGTCCTTTCACATAAAAATGAAGACGTGTGACAACGTAAAAACTAATTACTTTCGCTGTGAGAGTAGCTGCATGCACACTGCAACCAATTTCGATGGAAAGTCTGTGCTGAACAACTGCCAGCATGTCCATAATGCTGTCAGAGTGCAGCTCACTCTGGCAGAAACAATCTGTGAAGATATCTTCGAGCTTTTTCACAAAGCCGTACAGCTGACTAGAGGGATGGAGGAGGCCTCCTCGGTATCCTCGGTCACAATAGTTTGTTAGCCGAGCAAGCTGAAAACTTTCACCAGGTGAGGTCACGGTGAGCAGCTTGACGCAATCTTGGCATTTTGTTTTAGCATTGACAATGCATTTTCGTGCAACATAGCCCGAAATATGGTAAATGAGCCTGGAGTCGCTTCTGACCACGTGCTGGTTATGGTCACTTGAAGCCTGCGGGCCAGCATTATGCTGGTGTACCATGATTTTTTTTGTTTTCTCTTCAGCTGCAGTGGCAGCAGCAGTTTGACTGCACTCCTCTCTATCAGTTGATGATTCGAGCGAGTCAACTTCCAGCAAGGAGGCCAGGGTACCCTCCTCGAAGTTTCCATTGCTAACAGACCTAACCAGACCATAAAATGAGAGGCAATTCACAGTGATTAGGAACTGTGTTGGAGTCGGGTGATCGTTATTGCCAGAAGCTTGTCTTACAATTCCGAAGAAATTCTCGAGTGGGTCCTGGCTGGTCCTTGATGTCATTAGGTACTTGTATCCAACCTTGGATGTTAAGTAGGCAAGCAACTCGAGAGTGCTTGAAATGGTGACACGCAAGCCGGCTGCTGTGGAGTCACTTAAAAATCCACCAGTTCCTTTGGCATGCCTTTCCCACTGATCAAGGTACGACAGGAAGTCCTTCAGGGTTTCTTCTTTCAAGGAGCCTGGCCGGAGAGCTTCAGCAGCATACCGTGATGTCATCACTGATATCAACTGGCTCACCTTGCTGAAAAAATAGAATAAAACAATATTGCTTGAATTCTTGTTGACATGGCCTCTCGGATTACAGCCACCGTCATGCAGTCGGGCAAAAAACTGCAAACTCCTTCATTTTCACTTTAAGGAATGTTTACTAAAAACATTCTATGAGCTGGCTGGCAGGGAGATTGGTTAGTCTGGGGCACGGTGTTGTCTGGGGTGAAGGCCTCGTCAGGAGACATACGGGTCATCTTTTGCCTAAGCTCGAGGACATAATTCACGTTGTGTATTTATGTCTAAAATAACGAAGTGAATTGAAATAAATAGCGGTACAGTTACCTGAAGAATTCCTGGGTGGCATTGATGGTTCCAAATATCTTGTCCAGCTCATTCCTGTAGAGGTGGAAAGACTGGAGGACTCTCGCACCGAACAGTTGAAACGCGATGCTCACTCTCATTTTTTCAAAGCCATTTGGATTGAGATGGCACTCGGTGATTCCGGGCATAGCCTTGAGGGTCACATTATTGGCATCAATCTTGTAGGCTTCCCTCACCGGCCGAATGCTGACCTGGAATATGATTCCAAGACAAAACCAGACATTTGTTGCGATGCGCACTAGTTGCAGCAAAAATGTAAATGAGCCTGCAAAATGTTCGTTGATACCCTCCAGGTTAATTTTCCCCAAATAAATAAAGCCCCACGCACAATGTAAACCCTCCAATGATCGACAAGCAACAGGAAAAGTAACTGCCCTTTAGGCAAATGGTCCCTACTGCAAAACGAATTTTCGAGAGGAATGAACAAATCATATTGCATTGTACTGTTAAACGAATAGCTCGACACTGAAAAACTAGGCAAAATATGCAGTAATTAAAAGAGGCGATACATGTTACACATGCAGAAACTTACATGGCCAGCTGGGGTGTTGAAGCCGCTCTTCAACAGGGAGTTCCGGAGGCATTTGATTAGATGAGGAAAGTCTGAGTTGAAGAACAAGTGCCGCTTTGGGTCAGAAGGGGCTGGACCTTGCACTTAATCGAACTAGCAGTTGCATGTATTCCCATCATCCTCCACATCTTTCGATTCCAGCTTGCCCCATCAGTTGTTATGAAATCGACAAAGAGCCCACTTTTTTCTGCTAGTATTGTGGCCTCTACAACAACCTTGGCGAGAATATCTGCTTTCATGTTGCCATTCGTTGCGAAGCACCCTATGACCTGACTCCATTTTCCTTGGAATGGAACAAAAAGTACCACCATACCATGGTCAGATGGAGTGCTCTTGTCCTTTTGTGTGGTAAATGGGCCCAAGTCTACAAAGCCTTCAATTGTACCACTGCTCCTAACAGACAAGCTCTCAGAAAGTTTCAGCTCATCGATGAGCAATCCCCCGTGCCTCTTGCTGACGTCGAGCTCCGCTGTTTCACTATTCAATTTCTTCAGGATTTTCTCATTGAAGCCAAAAAGTGTACGGTAAACAGATACATAACGTTTCAGAGTTGATTTGCTTGGCAGGGCAAGAATTTTGTTTTTACGCAAGTGTTCGTACAAGCGGGGACCCTTCATCTTCATTATGATGCAGTCGAGAAGCCAGCTCTTGCTGTATCGAAGACCATTAGGTTTCACTTTAGCTGCTGCAAAGCAGTGTTTAACAGCTTCTTGCTGATGGGTAGGTAGGCTCCCAATCTGTTCCTGGAGAACATCTGCATTTTTTGCTGCAGCTTGCTGTTGCAGTTTCGCAAGGCTCTCCCTTGTATCAGAGAGACGGGTGGAAAGGCGCTTATTTCTTCTTACTGCTGTTTTAAGTTTCTGGGCAATGTTGAGGCGTGCCTTTGTGTTCCTACGCTGCACTCGGCTTCGGCGTGTCAACAAAGCTCGCCTTAGGTACCGACAGGAGACGCATGGCGTTCCTGAAAAAGACACGAAAGCATGGTAATGCACAGCCTCTTCTACGCTAACAGCGTGATGTGTCATTGTTCAAAATAAAGAGTGATAATTACCTTCTTTAGGCACCTGGCCTAGGCACTTCCTGCTGAAGTACAGTCCTTGGCGCGTCAACACGTGGTCCCTAAGCTTAGTTGTGAAGAGAGCTTCATCATAGTCCTCGAGCCTCATTGCACCCGCACATAGCTGCATCCGGTCAGTCTTTCGCAACTCGTCCTCGGCCTCCGTTTTTGTATGCACCGGCCCTTCCTTTATCAAAACGCCTCTAGCAAGCACTTTGCAGTATGCGGCACATTGCGACTCTGAAAACATTACCACCTTCTCGGAGAGCACTTCGGCATTAGTGGTCAACGCGGCCGTGCAGTATACAACACCGGCATGGCCAGGGAAACTGTGCTTACTCCAGTATGGTGAAGGCACTTCTAGGTTGAAGTAAAACTGATTCACATTGGCAGATGGTGGAGATGTAGACGCTTGTGGACATTCTTCACAGCCTGCATCAACAGCGTCGTCGGTGTGTGCAACGGCCCAGACACCGCATTGTCGGAAGGACAGAATGCGGGCTTAATTGCCCGTCTGAAGATTCCGATCGTTTCCTCTTACGAGCGGTCCTCTCTTGTGTCGGCTTTTTACTAAGGTAAGCTGGCAGATTGGGTAGAAGCGTCGGCACAGCATCAGCGCGGAGAATGGGTCTCCCGCGAGGTATCCGCACTTCTTTTCCCTCAATAATATGCACATAGTCTCTGAGCACATAACGCGGCTCGAAGTGGAGCTCGCACACTGCGCTGGTGTCTTCCAGGGGCTTGTCCGCTCTGCGCAGGTTCTTCTCCCATTGTTTACGCCTGTTCTCATCCTTCGGGACGCCAAACAACGACAGCTTCGGCCCACCCTTCACGAACACATAGCCTGTTTGGCACCCAGGCGCGTAGCAGTGGTTTTGCCGATATCGCGGCATGGCTTAGGCACTAAAGAACATACCGATTTCTTGAGTGGTGCGTACGGCTCACAGCCGACGGCAAAAACTCGGCGCTACAATAGCCACAGCAATAGCACGTCGCTCGACAACTGCTGCTGCGCAAGAGCTGGCCAGCACTTTCAGCCGCCACGCTCCCCCAAAGTTCTATTGATGGCGATGCCAGCGCCGCCGCCCGGGCGAAGAGAGAAACACACACTGGCGACGTTTGTGGAGCCACCCCACCGCATACCCTCCGCCGGGGAGTAAGCCCACTGCCCTCTTCTAGTACACTGTAGTTCTACAGTGGTAAAGTGAGCTAGAATAGGGTAGTGGGCTCACTCGCCGGCCGGCGCCATGCATTGCGGTGACGGCGCCAATGTCACACAAACGGGCTTCGGCGCGCCTCCGCGGCGCGGCGCTACCGCCGCATTAAATGTAGCTAGCGTTGGCGCTAGGGCAGTTGCTGCCTGTTTGGAGTGGCGGTCGGTGTGTGCGAGTTTTATTACTTTGAAAACTCGTCGTGCTTTGCATCCTCAATCCCCTGGGTTCTTCGGTGAACAGTAATGTGGCCTGACAAGCAGTGACCCTCAAACGAGGTTAAAATGCTTCCGCGGTGGCAAAACCACTGTTTTGCGCCAGGCTGTCGTACAGGTTACGTCCACGTGAAGGGCAGCAAGAAGCCGTCTTTGTTCGGCGTTCCGAAGGATGCAGCCCTGAAGAAGCAATGGGAAAGAAATTTGCATCGAGCGGACAAAGCCCTGGACGACACATCTGCCGTGTGTGACCTTCATTTTCAGCCGAAGTATGTGCTACAGGACTACGTGCATATAATCTACGTGACTGGACTGCGTGTGACTATAAGCAGTGTGCTAGAAGTGCTTTCTTTTTTGACAGGGAAAGTAGCATTCAAATACATAATGACATCAAAGACCAGCCAAGACCCATTAGAAAATTTATTTGGTACTATACGTCAGTCATCCGGCACCAACGACCACCCCACGCCAACTCAGTTTTTGCTAACCATTACTTGTCTGTCATTCTATGGTCTCGTGAAAACAATTAGCCAGGGGAATTGTGACCAAGGCGAGCTAGCTTCATTGCTGGAGATCAATGCTGCTACTGACACACTGCCACAAGACGATTCAGTTGGCAGTGCAAGCACTGTGAATGAGCCTAGTTTTGTGCAAGCACCTATTGACCACAACCAGCATATTGCTAGAAGTGATTCCAGGCTGATCTTGCTGGCTATATTGCGCGAAAGTGTGTCATTAAAACAAACTGCGAAGTTTGCATAACACTACTCACGATGGCAGTTCAAGGAGAAGATTTTCAGCTCACTCGTCCAACCAGCTTTCGTAACAAAGGTGGACTGTTGTATCCATCTAGCCACCTGTACAGTTTTGTGAGCAAGCTAGAAAACATGTTTACGGAGTGCTTTTCTTGCCACAAGTTGCATTCTGACAGCATTTTGGATGTATTGACAATCGTGAAATAAAAGTTTTCTCAAGAAGTTGGGTTAAATTAAGTATTTTTCATTTTGTCTACGAAACCATGGCTCACAGTAATCAGCATGAACGGCGGCTGGCTGCCGCTCGAGCAGGAACGGCAGCCGCTGCCGTCAGATGGCGCTACCGCACCGGTTGCTCCCGCCGTCGTAGTGTGGTGACGTCACGCGTCAAAGGAGAATTCGTGGAGGGGCCTTAAAAAATCTAGGTGGTGTTGGTTCACTACAGGCTATTAGCCAGCTGAAAGACGCATGCGTTGTTCGGCGTTCCAAAGGACGAAGCTCTGTTAGCGCAGTGGCGTAGAGCGATCCCGCGCGCTGACAAGCTGCTTCAACATAACTCGGCTGTGTGCGAGCTGCACTTCAGTGAGAGGTACATCTCCCGGCACTTCGAGCACACTTAGATGGGCGAAACTGTCCGCATTGAAAGGGGTACACCCATGGGCGTGCTTGCCGTTCAGGAAAGGGGGGGGGGCGAATGTTTATTGCAAGGTGTCTCCTTTATATTAAATCAGTGTATGAGGCAGATTTTACGCCACTCATCTAGATAGAACAGATTTAGCGCCCCTCCCAAGTGGCCAGCCCGCTTTGCCCCCTCATGCGGACGCCCATGGGCAGACCTTTCGGAGAAGCTCTTCGCATTTGTAGACGCCTCTGAAATCACTTTTTCAAAGTGCTTTAGCTACAACGAGCTTCACAGTGACAGCTTGGAAGAGCTTGTTTCCTGCTTAAAAAAAAATGTAACACTGGGCTGCACACAACATGGTCCGAGCTTCACCAATCAAGTAAACAAGTTTTTTCTGCTAACCCATTTGCGTTTTTACACAAAGGTACTCCACAAAAAGCGAGCATCTTCCCGTGAAAAGAGAAAGTGCCTGAAGCTCAGGCACATAACCTAGGCTTGCAGCCCAATGTTCTGTGGGGCGCATGTGAACTAATAAACTTTTTTCTTTAGGATAAAAAAAAGGACGTGCAACAAATTATTAAGAATGCATTGTTGTAAACAGATAGTGAGTCACTACTCGGAAATGTGTTCTATCACCTGTGTGCAGAAATTGAAGGATTTCATTCAGACACCGCTCGTGGTTCTCGCCTCGTGATTATGACGCTTTGAGTGATGAAGCTTCATTTACAGGTTTCAGAATTTGGTGCAAGTTTAAAAAACCCAGCTGGTCGGAATTTCTGGAGCCCTCCACTACGGCGTCTCTCATAATTATATGGTGGTTTTGGGACGTTAAACCCCACATATCAATCAATTATTCACACATTAGTGCTTGAGAAAATGGTGGTTCGCCGTGAAAAGTGTTGCAAGCAATGGCTCACAGCTGAGCTCATCGTTCCACTCTTCTACCACTTCTCATCGATAAAATGTTTCAGTACCATTACGCGCTCACTTTCGGCATCCTGTCGACCTGACGATATTTCAGTTCAGTCGTGCAGCCGCGTAGGCATCCTGTTTTTCAGAAGCTAATTAACATATTTTCTCGGTCGCCACTTGAGGCCATCCACGAGCAAGAAAATATATTTTAAATGTTTCACGTTGCCCCCGCGCGTGGTTGATTGCCGTCTCTGCGCAGCGCCGCCTTAGGTGACGTGGATGGATATGGCTGTATCCTTTAGATTGGGCGGTGGCTAGCGTCACCAAACCGTAATACTTAATGAACCAAAAACTAGATTTATTTTTTTCTTTAAAAAGTGAGTTTAAGGATTCCTACTTTGTAGTGAAGGGTTTAATTTTCACTCGTGCCTTGACTTTAGCCACCAATCAGATAACCTCCTTCTAGTTAAGTCTACCCGCTTAAAGTCTATTTTGCCCTCCCGGTCCCTAAACCCCAGTGCTTCGAAAAACTCAGCGCCATCATCCTGAACTACAGAGTGAAGCCCTTTACAGAACATTATCAAGTGTTCGGCAGTTTCTTCTTCCTCTCCACACGCACTGCATACCGTGTCTACCCCTTCGTATTTGGCCCGATATGTCTTGGTTCGCAGTACTCTCGTCCTGGCCTCAATTAAACAGTAGATAACTACCCCGAGTATTATCATAGATCCTTTCCTTGGCAATTTCCTGCTTAAAAGTTCGATAGATCTCTAGTGCGGACTTCTTAATCATGCCCATTCTTCACATGTCAGCCTCCGTTTCCTTCACTTTCTTCTTAACCGATATAGTTCTTTTTGGTTTGGCCAACTGCTGTTTTCTAAGTATTTACCAGTCAATTTCCTGGTTCGCTTCCTCCATTTTGTATCGACATTCTTCATGTACAAGTAGCTGAAAACCTTCCTAGCCCGACGCTCCTCCCCCATTTCTCTCAATCGCTTCTCAAACTTTATCTTGCTGCTAGCTTCCCTGCCCTCAAATGATGTCCCTCCCATATCACCTTGTACTCCCTTATTTGGTGTATTCCCGTGAGCTCCTAAAGCAAGCCTACCTATTCCACGTTGCTTAATTTCTAATCTTGCTTGAACTTTTGATCTCATGCACAAGACCACATTGCCGAACGTCAGACCAGGAACCATGAACCCTTTCCATATTCCTCTCACAACATCATACCTATTGTAATTCCACAGTGCCCTATTTTTCATCACTGTTGCATTCCTGTTACCTTTAGTCGTCACGTATATTTCGTGTTCCCTCAGGTACTCCGTCCCATTGCTTATCCATACGCCCAGATATTTGTATTTATCTGTTATCTCAAGCGTGACCTCCTGTATTCTAAGCTCACTACCTTCGTTATCATTGAAAATCATGACTGCTGATTTTTCCTTACTGAATCTGAAGCCTAACCTATCTCCCTCATTACCGCAGATGTCCATCAATCTCTGCAAATCTTCCTTGTTGTTAGCCATTAGCACTATATCATCTGCGTACATTAATGCTGGTAGTGCCTGATCAATGAGTTTTCCTTGTTTGACTAAAGATAGGTTGAAGCCCAGTCCACTTCCCTCTAATTTGGCCTCTAATCCTTGTAGGTACATCATGAATAATAAGGGTGACAGGGGACACCCCTGCCTAAGCCCCCGTTTTACCTCTGCAGGCTTGTATACCTGTTTTTCCCACTTTATAACTACCTTGTTACCTTTATAGATATCCTTTAAAAGATTAGTGACTACATGTTCCACGCCTAGTGCGTCCAGTATTCCCCACAATTCCTCTTGAAGCACGATATCGTACGCTCCCTTGATATCCAAAAACACTAGCCATAGGGGCCTGTGTTCTTTTTCTGCTATTTCTATGCACTGCGTCAGTGAGAACAGGTTGTCTTCCAGCCTCCTGTGTTTCCGAAACCCATTCTTCAGTTCTCCCAGCACCCCCTCATCCTCTATCCATGCCTGCAGTCTTTCCTTTATAATCTGCATCGCCAGCCTGTAGACCACTGATGTAACTGTTATGGGACGGTAGTTGTTTATGTCAGCTTTGTCCCCCTTTCCTTTATTGATCATGCTCATCCTGCTAAGTTTCCATCCATCGAGAACTTCACCATCGATTATTAGTTTGCTCACTGCCTCTCTCAAAGCCTGCTTAGACTTCGGACCTAATGTCTTTATCACCATAATTGGAATGCCATCTGGACCTGTTGATGTACTACTCGGAACCCTTTTCTCAGCCCTTTCCCACTCACGTTGTGAAAATGGAGCCATTGCACCACTTGGTTCGTCCTTGTCTATTGTGGTGCATAAAGCACTTCTTTGTTGAAATTTTTCTGTCGCCCTTGTTCTTATATATTCAATAGCTTCGTCCCCTTCTAGCCTAGCACCTTGAGCTGTAGTTATAAACCTCTGCTCTAGGCTCGTCTCATTTCTTAGGGAGTTTAGATGGTTCCAAAATTTCGCAGCTGCCTTTCTATCTTCTTTATGTAGTTCTGCCAGCCACTGAGCTCCTTTCCTTCTAATCTTTTCATTGATCAGAATGGATGCATCCCTTCTACAGCTTAGAAAAGTTTCCCATTTTCTTTCAACAAGCGTGCAAGCGTGTGCCAGCGCCATCTGGCGGTTTCCTCTCAAGGCGTTACGCGCTAGCCGGCGCATTCATCACGCTTTCCTATTCTAGCCACTGTAACTGTAGTTCTTCAGTGGCTTGTCTTGTTTGTCGTTCTAAAATACATCAGCCACTTCGGTGTGCTTCATGGTTCCTCATCCTGGGACTTGCAAACAAAATGCGCTATGCGCAGATTAGCGTGTATTTCTCGAGGTCTAGGTGGCAACTCCAACGTGGACGCCGTATCTGCTGTGCTGCCGCAGACGTGGCAGACCTCTGAGGTGCCGCAGTGTCGATCAGTTGTCTGCTTTAAAACTGTTTCGTTATCTTCTGGCACGTCAACGTCGCAGCATAAAAATCGCTGTCTACGATGAGCGGCGTCCTGACGTCCACCGAACGAATCATGCGTCCGAGTGACGCTGAAAGTGGACTGATTAACTTGGCGGGTGCCCCGCCGTCATGGGCTGAGAGCTTTACTTGGAGGATGGGTCAGAGGAAAAGTCTGTGGAGGGTGCGTACAATGTTTTGTGGTGCATCATTTTCTTATGACTTTGTTTTCACGCGTACTCCTTATGATTCCCGCAGTATTGCATTCTGTTCGCGTGAAGTCTTCATTTTGCCGTGGGAATTTTTTTTCTTTATCTGAGCGATAAGAAGTGGAGCGCTTTACGAAACACACCATCCGAACTTGTTAGTAGAAAGATGGTCTAACTGATCGACGATTGTGCACCGCGCCTGTTGTGTTATCCATTTCACGTCATTGCAAAAGCTGTCGTGCCACGTGAAACAAATTTGACCGATGAATAGACACAGTAACTTTGCTCTGAGATGCTGCAATAAGCTCGCCTCCCCCCCCCCCCCCCCCTTTTTTTTTTTCTTCCATTAACATCAAATATATGTCCTCTATCAAATTATTGAGTCTTTTGTGGGAAGAAATTTTTTGTTACTGTTAAGGGTCTCGCGACGTTCAATGAGATAACAGTGCGGCTGCGAAGCAGAAATATGATTAGGGAGATTTTGTAGTTGCTTGGTCTTCGGGCCAATGTGCTGTGCGATAACGATCGAGTTCGTGTGTGTGTGTGTTGTGTGTGTGTGTGTGTGTGTGTGGGTAGTTTATGGTGTTTCGGTAAGATAACCGTGCGGTGTCGTTCTAGAAAGCGTACTTGTTTTTTGTTGTTGTTTTTATGCACTGGCAATAAGTATTATGGTTGTATGGTAGTTTTGTTTATATTCTGATTATTTACGGATACCAATAATTACGGTTCTCACGAGCACACTGCTAGAAATGGGCCGCTGCTTGCTCCATTGATTGCTTTTGTGACTGGTTTACTACGTTACTTGTGAGCTCAGTTTAATACTGAGCAGTGGAACCAGAAAAAAAGTTGTTCAGTTTTGCTACAAAAAAAAAAAAAAAAACTATGCATGCTTGGTTGTCTCAAACACAACAACATTAAATACCTGTCTAAACATATTCAACCAGAGCTGATGCACCTATATTGGTGGTCATGAATGAGTGGTTCAAGGCTTACATTGGTTGTATTTAACATTACTATGTTGTTACGTAAGCCTTCTGTCTAGGAGAAGTTTCACTTCCATGCTTGTAAATGAACGAAATATTTCATACAATCTTCAAAATATATTTTTACTTCGCTTATATGAATAGACAGTAGGCTTCCGTCAAGGCAATTTTCAAGTCAGCTCGAAGTAATGTTTGGTTTATCTAACGTTCAGGTTCACTGAAGTTAGTATTATCTAGTTGTAAGAGCAAATAGGCACTAAGCCTAGTGTAAGGGAGTCTGCTAAGCTAGAACTAGGAATTAAATAAATAAACACAAGTAATAGTACTCTTGCGAGAAGCATCTGTGACAAAATCACCATCCGAGATATCACTTTCAAGACCGTTGTTTGGTTATGGTATGTCTAATTTTTTTAATTACTCACAATTTATCATGTTGTACCCTGTTATTCTTAGTATGCCACTTAAAACTTTCTTGCTTTGATAAAGTTGTTAGTGGGCCTACATAAGAGTATGCTCATAACATTTCATAAATGAACCTTGCAAGGCTGTATTTCCAATTTTTGTTTTACACTTGAAGCTGTAAAAGCACCATGTAGGAAACATTTAACCAAAATACTATTTAAAATTGTTTTCTTACTAGAGGAGTTAAAGGGCGATGAACTGTCTGATTACTATGCCATGATAAAACAAAAGCCACCATTGTCAGTAGAGAGGCATTTGCAAATCTGTAAGCGGCGTACCTTCTCTGCCATACCATGTGTGTCACTGCTGAGGAAGGACATTATATCACAAGATGAGCTTCGGCTGTTTTCATTTCAGCCTCTTTATTTCCCTTCATAGTGCATTTCCAGTGGTGGCATTGGGCACTCGTATTGGAGCATGATCAATTATGTTCTATGCAGTGCCTGTTGCTTAGGGCATTAGCATGTGTGTTTTTCACTCTCACTGGAAGTTTGGCTTTCTTGAAAGGAAGGATGAAATTTTGACTGTTTTTACGCTATGCGGCTGTTCTACACCTTGAAGGCACGATCGCCACAAAGCAACATGTTCAGCTAGGCTTGTTTACAGTGTGCAAGCATAGTAAAAATTTTAGGCACCTTTGCTGATAAAGTGCCACATACTAGTCTGACCATATTGTCACTTTTTTTCTTTGTCTTTGCTCTTTTCCTATGTCGCTTCTTTTTGCATGAAGTCATGCAGCATATTATGGGAAAGATAGTTTGGTTCTTAAGGCTGGGGGTACATGTTTTAGGGAACCGATTGGTGTTACCTAAATTTTCTGCATACTTTCCTTTTGTAAACTAAGAGAGTTATCTACAATTTAATTTTGATTAAGAGGAAGTGTGGGTGCCACAACAGATGTAATCTTACGGTAAATGAAATTTATATTGATTATTGATTATATTGGTAGTGCCACAAGGCAGTAGTGGGATTGGGGCATAAAGCGGTAGAGGGTCTCTGCTTGGACGATAAGACTACGAAGTGGATAGAGACTGGTCCCTGTCCGCTAGTGTGTCAGCTATTGCCATCACATCTAAACATCGTAAATATCCGCAAATATACGTTTACTTGTAAGATTATTGGTGGAGGTGCTGGGTAGGTTTACCTGGCTCTCCTGGCAAACCAACACAAAACTTCGTAGTGGTCGCCACCTTCATTTTCCTGCAATGGCTTGACAGGCCTACCCACAAGAGCAGCAGCAGCAGCCTCCTCTGATTCTCCTGCCTCCATGAGACCCCGGAACCTTCTCGGGCACAGGCAAGGACAAGGTGAATGTCGAAGATTGGGTCGCATTTTACAAGCGTGTGAGCGAATGCTATAAGCGGGACCCCACTTTGATGCTGGTCAACGTTCTATTTTACTTGGAGGATACGGCACTCACTTGGTATGAGACGCATGAGCCGAAGTTGACCAGCAGGGACATCTGCAAAATGAAGCTTGTCGAGTTGTTCAGCAGGCGACATTTGGGCGACAGCAGGCCGCGAGGAAAGACTTGGAAGGTCGCGTGCAGACATCGACGGAATCGTATGTATCTTATATACAGGACGTATTGGGCCTCTGTCGAAAGGTGGACGTGAACATGAGCGAAACTGACAAAATCGCCCACATATTAAAAGGAATTGCCGACGACGCCTTCAACCTGTTGATCGTTGAAGTTTGCGCCACCGTCGACACGGTGGTGAAGGAATGTCAGCGCTTCGAGCACACCAAGAACCGTTGCATAACCTACCAGTTTGCTTGTCTGCCTAATACTGCAACCACTTCGACCTGCGAAGACTGCCCCAGGTTCACGCAAGCTAAATCATCCGAAAATGTCACCCGGATCGTTTGCCGCAAACTCGAAGCAATGGCTCCTGCAGCCATCGCTTCCAACGGCCCTCAAGATAACGCATCGACCGTGTCCCTCATCCAAGCCGTCGTTCACCAAGAAACAGCAAATCCCGGCATCGCACCTATTTGCACTGTTCGCACTACCGAGAGTTCGGCTTCGGTTAACCAGATCCCGGTGTACCCTTCACGCTACCCTTCCCGCTACCGGAACCCTGCTGAATGGAAGACGTCGGATGATCGACCGATCTGCTTTCACTGCTCTCGCACCGGACACATTGCACACTGCTGTTGCAATCGTTGGACGTCCAATTAATCCGGGAATACTGGGGCATGGTGCCGCTTTGAAGACAACTCTCGTCCGTTTTCTACTCGGTACGATCCCCAGTCTACTGTTACTAACGTTCAGGGCCGAAGGTTCAGCTGGTCACCATTACCCCAAGGCCGCCGATCTCTCTCGCCGATGATTCCTCGATCCAGGTCCCCTGCATGACCTGGTCCCTCAACCTCGGGAAACTAGACGATGCAGCTCCCGGAGGTGACGCTGCATTAACGACCCAGTCTGCAAATCCTCTGTTGAAGATTCCTACACACCGCAGTATTTTGGACCTTTTGGTGGATGACGTAACTCTTACAGCCCTCATAGACACTGGCGCACAAATTTCAGTCATGAGTGCTGCTCTCTGTATGAAACTGCGAAAAGTGATCACGCCTCCTCTTAAGTGTGCAGTAATGCTTGCCAATGGGAGCACATCTACCGTTCTCGGCATGTGCACCTCTCACGTGTGTATTGCTGGCCGTCAGACCGTCGTATTGTTCACCGTTCTTGAGCAGTGCCCACATGACGTGATTCTCTGTCTCGACTTTCTTTCTGCACACTCCACTCTTATCGACTGCTCGACGGGCCTTCTTCAGTTGGAACGGCCTTTTGACGCCGCTGTTGCCGTGATGCTCAAAGTCGCCTTTGTGCCACCGAGTTCCTGCATCTTCCGCCACAAGCCGCGACTTACGTGCAGCTTGTGTGTGAACCGCCTGTGCGCGATGGTGAATATGTCATTTCAGCCATTACCGACATTGTGCTAAAGCATTCCATTGCTGTCCCGCACACCGTCGTGAGAGTACGCCACAACCAGACCTATTTGTCTCTTTTGAACTTTGGTTTCTCCGCACACGTGCTGCCTGCTGGTATTAACCTAGGCGTCATGTCGTTGTTGATAGAGTGTGATATCTATGAGCTGTCAACTGAGCAACCTACTCCTCACGTCAACTTGCTCACTGCGCCTAACCTTTCAAGCATTGACATTGCCAAAATGATAGCGCTAGATCTTTCGCCCTCCGAAGCACAAGACCTCCACCGTCTCTTGACATCCTATGCGGACATATTCGATCTAGACAACCGCCCTTTAGGCCAGACATGAGTTGTGACCCATCACATCAACACCAGCGGTGCCAACCCAATACATCGCCGTCCTTACCGTGTCTCCACTACCGAACGCTCTGTCATCTAGAAAGAGGTCGAGAAAATGCTCGCCCAAGGCGTCGTCGAACAATCATCTAGTCCGTGGGCATCCCCGGTCGTGCTTGTCAAGAAGGGCAATACATGGTGGTTTTGCATTGATTATACACATCTCAACAAAGTCACTAAAAAGGATGTTTACTCCTTA